CGCAGCCCCCTCCCCTGCCCCGGGGAGCACTGGCGGCGAGGGGGCACCCCATGGCAGTGCAGAGGCAAATGTGGGTGGCCTCTCCTTCCAGCGGGGAATTCTCTGCCATGGCGTGACCCGGGGCTTCCCCGGGGATGCAGCCTCTCCTGTCAGCCTCTCCCCTCGTGGCAGGGCGAACGGGAACCGGCCTTCTTTTGCCACCAAAAATGGGGCTCGGCTGAGGGTGCCCGGGGTCCCAGGTGCTGTCTTGACCCTCAGGCAGCGCTTGGCAGGAGGTGGATAAAGGACATTTTGGGGACTGGCCTCTGGGCTCCTCAGCGCACCCATGTGCCCCCTGCAACTGGCGAGAAGTTATCCCCAGCCCTACTCCTTTGCTGCAATGCTTTAGGGCCACGCTGTCCATCCCCCACATTGCAGGTGGCATCCCGAAGCTGGGCTGTCCGGTGAGCGGACTGTCTTTCCGGGGCTGGCACAGTTCTCGCCCTCCATCCCTCGTCCCTGCCCGCCTCTGCCAAGCAGTGTGGGTGGCAGGAGCCCGCTTAGAGCCAGGCCTTTGGTTCAGAGCTGATGCCTGCCGGAGATAAAAGCCACCCAGGGGCCCCAGTGTGAGCGGTAAGGAGGTAGCAGGAGGCTCAGCTCATGCCTTCCATGCTCTGCAGAGTGGGAGCTGCTGCCTGCTCCTCGCTGCTGCCTGCTCCTCACTGCTGCCCACCATGGCCGGAGCTGGCCCCGGGGGGCTGCCCTGTGGCAGGGGGCCAGTCCCTCTGGGCAGGGGGGCCTGGCAGCACAGCAGGTCGGTGGAGGGGACCGGAAATTCCCTCTCAGCTCTGCCTCCGTCGTGCTCTCACTTCTGTTATGACTGCGCCAGGGGCTGGCGTCAGACCCGGCTGGAAATAAAACCTCTCCTTGGGCTGGGGGACTCCATGGCCACGGGGGCCACGGTCCTGAGGATGTGGGCTCCCTGCTGGCCACTGAGTTCCAACAGCCACACCTCCTGTGTCCCTCTGCGCCAGCGGGCTGTGTGCCAGCCCTGCTGCGGCAGTGCTGAAAGGGAAGGATGTGGGGGAGAGAAGAGGAAATCAGTGTGGGACAGCAGATCGGCTGGCACGGGGACTGTGCCGTGCAGGTGATCTTGGACCGGTGCCGGGCTCCTGCCCGGCTTTGGCTGCCTGCCTTCACAGAGGGGAAAGCAGAAGTGCAGTGCACAGCCAGCAGCGGGGAACTGGAATTCCCCGGGCAGCTGCAAGAGCCCAGACCGCCCTCCGCAGCCACCAAACCCGGCCCTTGGGCTCTGTGAACGCATCCCAGGCTCTTCAGACCTGCCCCAGTTGGAGGTCTGGCTTTGGGCAGTGCCGGGTCCAAGCCCCGTGCATGCTGTGAGGTCCAAGGGAGGACCCTGCGGTGCTTTGTGGGGACAGGAGCGTTCGCTCCCTGTGGGGACTGGAGTGAAGGACTGCCCTGGGGAGCCTCAGGCCATGTTCCAGCCTTGCCCTGCTGCTGAGCTTCCCCAGGGAGAGGGCAGGATGGAGGAGCTCCTAGCTGGTGGGAAGGGAAGGGGACTGGGGGAGGTGGGAAGGTTATTCCTCCGTGCAGCAGTGGAGGATCTTTGCTCCTGAGCATGGCACTCAGGACTCATTTTTCTTTTTTTTTTCCTCCCCCATTCCCTTTATCGCCTCTGTAGGTTGGTTCACCTGGCCATTATCCACTGCGTCCCAGCTGTGGCACTCTGCTGCATTGCTCAGCTGCCCAGGGAGGTGCTGGAGATCCAAAATGATCTTTTCCAGGTATGTGGATGTGATAGGCAGAAGATGGGAGGAAGGCAAGTGCCACAGGCTGCTCCCTGGATAGATGCCCAATCCATCTGCCCTTTCCCTAGGACCCCCCACCCACTTCCTCCGGACCGTGGTGAAGGTCCCATGTGAGCAGCCCCTTTTCAGGGAGGGGAAGAAGGGCGTGGGAGATACCCTGAGAGGTGTGACAGCTCCCAGCACCAAAGGGTGAAGGGGTCCTTTACGAGGCCCCAGGATGTCGCAGACAGCCCTGGAGGGTGGAACAGGCACGGCTTGAATGTGGCAGGGTAGATAACCTGGGAGAGTGAGATCTGCCCCCACGGGTGATCCTTGAGCTGAGGTGTGGGGGGGCAGCAAGCTGTTTGCACCCCCCGGTGTCAGCCATGCTTAACCCCGGGACAGGCATGGGCTCCTGCACGGCAGCCTGCCCGTGCCACGGGGCTGGCTCCTGTAGGCTGGCTTGGCTCATCACGCTTGGTGTCCTGCGGGGCATCCCCCCCTTTCCTAATTTGTGTCCCCACCTCCTCTCTAGACCCCGCTCCACCTCGCCGTGTACCTGGAGCAGCCCAGCGTGATCCAGGCGCTGATCCACAAGGGAGTCAACCCCGGGCTGCAGGACCGCAATGGAAACACCCCGCTGCACCTGGCCTGTGAGCAGCAGCACCTGCGGTGTGCCCAGCAGCTGCTGCGGGGCACAGCCCTGACGGAGGGCACGGCCCAGCCCCATGGGCACCACCAGGACCTGCAGCTCCAGAACTGGCAAGGTGAGACCTGGGGGCAGCCCAGTGCAGAGCCGGTGGCCGGGTTGGGGCAGAAGACCGTGCGTTGTGTATGCAGGGATCCGGGAGCTCAGCAGAGTGGGCACGGGGCCGGGGTTGGCCTGCCTCGGGGTGGTCCAGGCTGACTGTGGCGCTCTCTCCTGCCTCCCCATCCCAGGCTTGGCCTGTCTGCACATCAGCACCTTGAAGGGGAACATCCCGATGATGTCTCTGCTGCTGGAGAGCGGCGCCAACATTGATGTTCAGGTAAGGCTGGGCATGGTGCGTGGTTCCCTTGGGCACTCCCTCCAGCCTCGAGGCAGACACTGCTGTGGGGCTTGGAGGCACTGAATTTTGAGGGAGCAGAGGGAAAAGGTCCTTGAGGGGCTGTGGGATGCCGTGACAGCAATCGGAGTGGGGACTGCCCAGTCTGCACCCTGTCAAGGGAGTGCGGGTGGGTGCTGTGGGGCCCATCTGAGGGGACCCCGCACCCATGCCCCTGTGGTCTGCGGGTTGCAGGAGGGCACGAGCGGGAAGACCCCATTGCACCTGGCCGTGGAGTGCCACAACCGTAGGGCTGTCCAGTTCCTGCTGCGCAACGGGGCGTATGTGGATGCCCAGATGTACAACGGGTGCACCCCGCTCCACCTGGCCGTGGGCCGCAAGGATGCTGCCATCGCTGCCATCCTCTCACACTCTGGGGCTGACACCCTGCTGAGGAACATGGAGAATGAGACAGCCCAGGACCTGGCTGACGGCAACGATGATGTGAGTCTGCATGAGGGGAGGTCTGTGGCTCTGCAAGCATGTCGGAGGGTGCGGGAGTTGGACGATTTGGGGGGAGCTCCTAGGAGGAGTTTCTAGCTGTGCCCGTCCTCCCCTATAGGGTGCAGGCGTTGGCTCTGGGGGTGCGTGGGGTGACTGCCTGTTGCCTCGAGCCCTAGGGAAAACCGAGCCAGGGTTTCTTGGCACTTCCCTGGGGAGGTGGGGGAGGCTGCAGGGCTAGGGGGACAGTTCTGGGCCCCTACCCCAGCCCCAGTGGAGGCACGACCCTGGATCCTTACACCTCTGCACCCTTGGCCTTTGCAGCTCCTCGCCTTGCTGCCCTTCGATGACCTGAAGATCTCGGGGAAGCCTGTTGTGTGTTCTGAATGAGCGGCTGGACTCCTTCGGCCTGTCGGGCTGCCTCCTCTCTCTGTGCTGTTGCCCTGCTGCCCACTGGGACCTTGCCTGCCTGCAGTTCAGTGGGAGCAGAGCCACTTTGGGAGACGTTGTCCCCCCCTTCCCCCATTGGAAAACTTTTGTTAGCCTCAGGCTGCCTTCTCGGAGGGAAGAAGGTGGCATTATGAACACTATTTGTGCCCTGCAGCAGGACTGAATTTCCCATTCCTGCCATGGGTTTGACTTTTGGGGGTCTCCAGCTTACCCAGGGAAGGAGCAGGAGAGGACTCCTTTTCACACTGTATGGTGGATGGAGCATCCTCTGGCACCCCCAAACACCATCAGAATAAGTGTGGGGTGAGGAGAGTTAACACACACTCCAATAAACATTTGTTCTTGCTGCGGGTGCCTGAGGTCTCATGTGATCTAACCCACGCCCTCCCCCACAGCATTGGGAGGCTGAGCATTACCCCAGGCGCACTGGCACGTGAGGGCTGCGGGGGCTTCCCCAGCCTGCCCGCTCCCTTGGGTCCTGCTCCCTCCCTCGCACAGCAGAAGGTTAGTGGGAGTGCAGAGGGTTCCTCACTTGCAGAGCCTTTCCAGTGCTCAAGGCTGAAGCTGGGGGATCCCAGCCTGGCGCTCCATTCCCGTGCCGTCCTGCTGAGTGTCTGGCATCGGGGCTGAAGACAGAGCATAGGAGGTGCCAGAAGACCAGGTCATGGATCCGTGTTTCTGCTATCGTGCCTGACATCTCACTGCCTTACTGTGCCACGGTTTCCTCTTCTGCAAAGAGGATAGAAAGATCCTGCCCCACCTCCCGGCTTGGGAGGGTGTTAAAAAACTTAGGGCATGGGTCTTCCTTGGGTTTTTGATTCCCCCAGGCTGAAAGCGGAGGAGACGGTAGGGTTATTTCCACATCCCTTCTGTTGTTCAGCTCACTACCCTTCCCTGCCCCCTCTCCAAGACAGAGGAACACGTGCGACGCATTAGGGAACCAGCAATGGAAGGTGCTGTGGGAATGGAGACACCGAGCGTGCCTGACCCCACCTCAGCCAGGGAAATTCCCCACTTGCTGCCTGGGAGCAGCTGCTATTGTTTGGGGCAAATCCCAGATGGCGCAATCACCCGAGATGCTCTGGAGTGAGCCGTTGTCTTCCTCCTCCTTTCTTGGAAAGACAAGATAGCAAGGGAATGCTGCCAGGAAAGCAGCATGGGCTCCCCCCAGGCCTCTCTGGAGCTTGCCTGGTCTCTTCAGCAGCCCTGGGCTGGGTTGCTCCGTTCCTTTTGCATCTTTGCCTCTCACCTTCTGGCAGGGCCCCAACCCTGCTGCAAACCAGCCATATTCTGCTCATGGGCTTTGGCCAGCACCTGCCAGGAGCAGGTGCCCCATGGAGCTGCTCCGCTGCCACCTTCACAGGGGAGGTGTGGCACTCCCGGGTGGCCCAGAGCGGGAGAGACAGGCGCTGGAGGGCAGAGCAGCATGGTGGGGCCAGGTCTGCAGCTGGATGGGAAGGGGAGGAAAAAGGCAGAAGTGATCTGCGCCATCTTTTTTTTCTTATTTTTAAATAAATTTTTTTTTAAAAATTAGTATCTTGTATAATATTATTGGGTGGCCACCTGGTGGCTGCAGCACTCCCCGCAGCCTTGCCTGGGGCCGGGATGGGGGTGCAGGGCTGCTAGGCTGGGGGAGCGGGGGGCAGGGTG